TTGCTTCGGATCTCATAAATCATTTGGAATTTAAGTCAGATTGTCTTGTGTGTATGTGTCAGGCACACGGATTTAGCGCTACATTTAAATAAAAAAGCGCAGAATTGTTGGTGTTCGAATTGTTGTTTTCGTGAATACAAGTAGCATGACTTTATACCCTCCACGATACAGCGGAGGGTATACTAAATTTGTAGTTCCGTTTGAAACACCTTAAAAGACAATGCATGTATTTTCTCGATCAAAATAAAATTCTATATCAATTTAGCCATGTTTGAAATCACGATAGAAATTGCAATATTTAAAATAGAACTTTGAAATGTTGCACTAGCATTGCTATATCGTCCACGTTTTAGTATATCTCTCATAAGACGGTGACCCAATTTTGGAGGTTTTAGACCTATTTTCTAAATGAAAGGGCGGTAATATGACCTATATCTATCAGAAACCAGTAAGGAAAGTAGTCAAGTCTGACTGAGCCGACTATATTATACCCTTCAACACTTTGGGTATATTCAACAGATGCATCCTAACATACGTCGCATTTTTAAAGGACCATTGACATGAAATGAACGAACTTAAATATATATATACATAAGAGCTGTCCAAATTTCATCCAAATCAGATTAAAAGTGTGACCTGTACTTTGTTTACCATTTAACATCAACAGACGGTCATGTTAAAGTGGACACAGATAGTGATTCTATGTTACAAACATATGCACAATGACATTATACCCTGTACCACAGTGTGGTGAAGGGTATAATTGGCAATACAGGTCCATGTTTTAACATATGTGCACCAAAAATTCAAGCCCTGTCGTATGGCTCTAGTTTTCTTCAAATCGGTCCGGCTTTGCATATAGCTCACATACACAATTTAGCTTGATTTCATACAAATGGTAGATTTGTACGAAATCGACCACATATTAATTTCTTCCGATTTATCAGTTCTATCGGCGGAATATTGTATATTGGAACATCCCGTGTATATACCCAAAGCGATGAAGACTATCGCATAGACGGTCCGTCCGACTTTTGTATTTTTTTCTGGTTTTCAGACTGCTGATAGGTTTTGCTTCATCGCCATCGACGCACTCTTTATAAAAATGATATTAGAATTGGCTGAATATAAGTATTTCAGGGTCGCAGGCAGGAAAAACTGTCTTCGCAAAAAATTGTTGATATAGTTGTTTTTTGGCATTTTTATTTCACACAAAAGATATCAGAAGTGTTGCAAATGTCCACATTTCTGCACTATCAGGCATGTCATAGAAATGAATTACGTTCGGAAGTGGAATTAATTCCGTATTTAGCTTCTTCAGAAAACGAAAAACGAAATTTTTTTCGAAATGAAACCATTTTTGATTTTGAAAGTGGAATTGCATTTATTTGAGAACTTGTCACTTTTAAATACTCTAAAATTACTTTAAAGTAATAAAAATGTTGTTTTTAATAATAAATTCATATAAAAATTCACATTTTTGGGGTTTTTATTTAAAAATTCTTTAAATTTTAGTTATCAATAATTATTTTTCAATAAATGATGTTATCAACATCAAAGAGCATAAAACGAGCAACCTCAGGAAATAAAGAAAGTAGCCGCATGGATATTACATTATCTCAAATAACTGCAATTCCATTTTCAAAATTAAAAGTGGTTACATTCCGAAAAAAATTTCGTTTTTTCGTTTTCTAAAGAAGCTAAATACGGAATTAATTCCACTTCCGAACGGAATTCATTTCTTACTACATGTTCTTTTTAAACTTTCGGTTGAGGTGGTTGCTCGTATCAACACTTATTTGTTACAATTTGTTTGCCATTTTTATCGAAACAATTTGGAAAATACATATGCGAATTTTATAACAGCAATGGAATGCTAAATTAGCCGCATTCGAGTCAGTGTACTGCAGTGGAGAGACCACTGCTGTAAACAAGAAAAACAGTAGGCCAACAAATGGTTGCAAAAGAAACAAGTAAGAGGAGAGACAAAGGATGATAACAAAACATCCTTTTGGAGGAATAAATTTGTTTTTGTTAAAAGAGAGAAATGAGATATTGATTCTAGACCAGGGATGCACGCCCTTGCACTCTAGCGGTCAGCTCAACTCACACGGATTCTTACGCTCATTTGTTTAGTCGTCGTTGACTCGACGACGTTGACACTTCAACGAGAAACATGTCTATGGTGGTGCGCATCATTTTGTGGTTACGCTTAAGCGACCCACACACGTCAAACATGTACGTTTGATCGGTTTGAAGCTCCAATACCTCAATCGAATCAACAAAACTTCATTTCGAATTTGGTTTTTATACCCTTCACCACACTGTGGTACAGGGTATTATGTCTTTGTGCATATGTTTGTAACAGGCAAAAGGAATCGAGATAGACCCATAGTTCCTTTTGAGAATATGCATAGAATCACTTTCTGAGTCGATTTATTCATGTCCGTCCGTCTGTCCGTCTGTCCTTCCGTCCGTCCATGTATTTTTGTGAACAAAGTACAGGTCGCATTTATGATCCGATTTGGATGAAATTTGGCACAGTTCACTTATTGGGCCCAAGGACGAACCCTATTGAAATTGGGAAAAATCGGTTCAGATTTAGATATAGCTCCCATATATATTTTCGTCCGATTTAAGGTAAATGGTGCACCAAAGTCCCTATATTTCTTTCGATTTGCACGAAATTTGACATAACGTATTGAATTGAGCCTAGAGTGATGTATGCCAAGTTTCGTGAAAATCGGTCCAGATTTAGATATAGCTCCCATATATAGTTTCGTCCGATTTTATGTAAATGGTGCACCAAAGTCCCTATATATCTTTCGATTTGCACGAAACTTAGCATAACGTATTGAATTGAGCCTAGAGTGATGTCTGCCAAGTTTCGTGAAAATCGGTCAAGATTTAGATATAGCTCCCATATATATTTTCGTCCGATTTTATGTAAATGGTGCACCAAAGTCCCTAATTATCTTTCGATTTGCACGAAATTTGGCATGACGTTCTGTATTGAGCTTAGAGTGATGTCTGCCAAGTTTCGTGAAAATCGGTCCAGATTTAGATATACCTCCCATATTTAGTTTCGTCCGATTTTATGTAAATGGTGCAACAAAGTCCCTATATATCTTTCGATTTGCACGAAATTTGGCATAACATACTGAATTGAGCCTAGAGTGATGTCTACCAAGTTTCGTCAAAATCCGTTCAGATTTAGATATAGCTCCCATATATAGTTTCGTCCGATATTATGTAAATGGTGCACCAAAGTCCCTATATATCTTTCGATTTGCACCAAATTTGGCATAACGAACTTAATTGAGCCTAGAGTGCTTTATGCCAAGTTTCGTAAAAATCGGTCCAGATTAATATATAGCTTCCATATATAGTTTCGTCCGATTTTATGTTAAAGATTCACCAAAGTTCCTATAAATCTTTCGATTTGGACGAAATTTGGTATAGCATACAGGATTGAGCCTGGAATGATGTGTGCTGAGTTTCGTGAAAATCGGTTCAGATTAAGATATATATATTTCCGTCAGATTTAATGTAAATAATGTACCAAAGTTCTAATATTGCATAGATCGATTGATTTTAAGTAATTGACGAACCAAGGAACCAATATATGGTTGATAGGAACAAAACGTACTGAAATTAGTATAACCCAACCTGTGACAAGTTTTGTTGAAATCGGTTCATATTTGGATATAAATTCCACATATATTTTCGTCCGATTTTAAGTAAACGGTGAAAATGGTGTTTGTCAAATTGACATGAAATTTTGCACAACGCACAAAATTGAGCATAGAATAACGTAACCCAAGTTTTCTAGAAGTACAGACATAGCCCAACGGCCCAACATTTGTCCCATTGTAAGAAACAAATGACATGCAAATAGATTGATATATTTTGATTCACATAAATATCACATATTTTAGTTCATCCAATTTCATGTTAATTGTTCTGGTGAAGATAGTGGTGAAGGGTATCATATAGTCGGCCCCGTCCGACTTTACTACTTTCCTTACTGGTTAAAGATTGGAGATGGACAGCGATAGAGACGACGTAAACAAGACCGAACTGTTTTATTTAATAACATTATTTTAATTTCATTCGCACCGATGGAACGCACATGTTTGACGTGTGTGGGCCGCATTAGCTTTGTGTACTAGACATAGAGTCTAGAACAGTGATGTATATGTATGTGTGAGACTAGTACACAAAGCTAATGCAGCCCAGGGATGGATAATTCAGTACCTAGTACTTTTTTCAGTGCCTTTTTACTAAAAAAGTACCGTAGTACCCCCGTGACCATTTCAGTACCATTCCAATCCTTCATTAAACCACGTATATATATATATATATATATATATATTTTTTTTTGGATTAGAAAAAATGAACAGGTTTACGACTGATAAGTGTTCAGTTATGATTAAAATTAAAATAAGTTAATGAGTTAATTTTTTTTAATGGATATGTTTGTCTGATACTCAATTTGGCATACTCTGAGCTATATCCTGAGGTAGGCAAATTTATGACATTCCTAGTCGTCGTGATTACTTCAATAATTTCAAGAGCACTTTGTGACTTAAATTCATGTTAGTTTGGGGTATATTGGCTTTCGAGGAAGAGGTAGTGAAATTAAAATTAGCCAATAGCATACATATTCAAATGCAATCGAAAGAAGCAAGAATTCTCATATCAGAATGATACACTAAGTGATATCTTGAAAATCGATCTTTATGAATCTGAATAAAATGTTTTTTTTTTTTGTATTTTCTTGAAAAAGTACTCTTTTATTAAAAAAGTACTCTTTTGGTACCAAACACGTGCGTTCCATCGGTGCGAATGAAATTAAAATAATTTTATTAAATAAAACAGTTCGGCCTTTTTTTCGTCGTCACTATCGCTGTCCATCTTCAACCAAATTCGAAATGAAGTTTCAAACCGATCAAACGTACATGTTTGACGTGTGTGGGTCGCTTAAGCGTAACCACAAAATGATGCGTAAGAATCCGTGTGAGTTGGGCTGACCGCTAGGGTGCAAGGGCGTGCATCCCTGATCTAGACCGAAGTCTTAGTATATTGATCACAATCTATCATTCCATTATAAGTTGTAATTGAACTATACCCCGAAAATTTGCTAAGTAGTTCCTCACATGTACGGCACTTGGAATAATATTTTAATACATATACTTGATCAGATTTTAATAGAGCTTCGAGATCAGCGAAATTCGCATTTTCCCACTTCGGTGGGTTGGAATTTTAAAGTTTAGGTTCTTGGATGATGAACATTTTTCAATAACTATTATTATTTTTGTTACCTATTTCAACTGTTAATGTTGAATATCTCTTCTAACTTACAATGTTTTATTCATTAATAGGGAACTTAATTTGAATTTGTTTTCTTTTTTCGGAACTACATTAAAAATTCCGTTGCCAAACAACAACACTACCCGACATTCTCCAATTCTTCGTCCAATGCTTCAATGCAATCGTTGACATTCAATGATTTGGAAACATGTTATTCTATTTTTTTCTCATTTTCTTTCTTATCGCTACAAAATGTTGTTAGCGTTCCATTGTTACTAGATTTCGTTCGTGTTTTGTGTGTGGGTGCTTTTTTATTTTTCTCTTTCGTAGCATCAATGTTGTTGACAATATTTGAAATTATTACGATGTTCCTTTTGTAGTGGGGGATGACAACATGTTCTGCCCGTGTCCCAGTCCAAGTGAACCGTAGAATTCTTCCGATTTGCGAGGGAGTCCAACCTTCGCATCCTGACACAATTATACGAAAATTGTTTGCAGTTCAATCCGGAAATTCCTTTGATTTTTGTTTTATTCATCTCCCCGTCCATCACTGTCACCATCACTGCCAGGGCTTTTGTCTTTTATGGTCCTCGGTTTGGTTTGTTGCACAACAACATTTTTAATTTTCTTAACGGAAGGTCCTTCGCGTGTTTATGAATTATGTCTGAAATTTTTGTTTTTTCCTTTTCCATTAGTTTCTGTTTTCCTTTTGTTGTCGTTGTTATTGTTTTGTTTTGGTGGTAGTAGTAATGTCCGCTGGAGAGATGACCGACCGGAAAAGGCATTCCCAGAAATGGTGTTGACGTGTGTTGGCGTTAGTGATTGTGTCCGAGATGACTGTGATGTTGATGCTGATGATGTTTCACACAATCAGATAATTTATTTATTTATATTTATTGTGTTTCATTCCATTTCAATGTTCTCCATTATGGCATCGAACTCAACAGGAAAGGCAGGGGCATTTTCAATGGTCAACACGTGTCTGCGGCCAAAGAATATAATGGCCATTTCCTTTAAAAATTAACACTTTTTGTTAAAGTCGATACCAAATGGAATTGACCTTTTTCACAAATACGAACCAAACAGGGTTCACATTGTCATAGATATAGTTTTTTTGCTGTGGGTTCGGATTTGTCAACCATTTTGTGTTGTTGAACTTTTGCTTTTTTAGGATAAAAGGAAGTTGAATGAAATGTCTCAATAACCTTTTAAAAATAAATTGACATTTGTGTTTCATTGCGAATTTACACGTTTGTAGGAAAACAAAATTGATTTGGACATTACTTACTAGGAAATATGTGAAGTTTTTTGTCCACGTTAGTCGAAGGTGTAAAGGCCAAAACTAACTTTGATATTATTTATATGGAAGGACAACTTCGTTAGAAAGGATTAACAGAATTTCTTTAAGGGAACCCCCCCATTCACGATTTTCAATGGGCTGGTAAATCAATACCAATGCTTGTTATGGTTTGTAACTTTGCACATATATAATTGAAGATTTAAAAGAGAAGAAAAATAATTTACAAAAAAAAAAAAAATTTGTTATTGTTTTGTTTTTTGTAATTAAAGAAAAGTTCTTATTTTTGATGGCGGGCATGATAACTCCTCACTGGAACATCGGAACCCGAAAATTCCAACGGTGTTAGAAAGAGTACATGTCTGGCTCTCGTATGAACTAGGATTATTGACTTCGCTCTAAACTTAACAAAATGGTGGACCTTTGAAAAAATATTTTTGGAAAATCGCCGATTTCTTACCAAAAACCAAGTTCAAAAATTAGGAAGATCTTCACCGATTGGCTTTATCCTAGTTCATACGATAGCTATACACTCACAGAGAAACGTGTAAAAATTTGAAATCGATTGGGTTATTAGTTTTTGAGTTATCGTGCCCGCCATTCACAAAAAAATGTTTAGAGAAAAACGCGTTTTAAGTTTGAGAAGCCCTTCTGCCGTCACTTGTTCTTTAGATTTTCACTTGAAATTTTGTAGGGACATTCATTAATTAGTGTAGATTCGAATTATATCAACAGACGATGACATTACCATACTGAGAACAAGGTGAATGGCATAAAAGTTCAGTTATCTCATTTGTTATTGTTGTTTTGTTGATTAAATGCGCTAAGTCCACATCATAACATGTCGCTGGCATAACATTAGGTAAAGACTCTAAGTCCAAACAAACTATATATATATTTATAATTTTTTTGGTTGCAAGGGCGCAGGAAGAATTCAGTGATAGTTTTCTTTCGATAAACATTTTTTTTTGCATTCCAACAATCATTTCAAACATATCTAATGTATTTTCTTTCATATATATTTACTACAAAAAAAGTTATTATAAATTTCCCTAAAATTTCAAAGGGCACCTTTGAACATACCCAGTAAACTCCAGTAAAAAACGGAGTTTCAAACTTTTGGCTTCGATTTCTCAAAATTTTCAAATGGGCATATGTATATTCATTTTAAAGGTTACATATGTACCTATTACTTATATGAAACCAAAACTTATAACATAAAAAATTTTATGAGGCTTGAAAGAAAAAAAGTGTTCAAAGGTGCCCCCCTCTCCCCTACTATTTGCATTGGTCCATCGGGAGGGTCGAGAAAATAGTACACTTTCAGCAAATATAAATACCAGTTCATGATTATTTGAAATCTTACAAATTTATACTTAATCCGAAAATATATTGCGTGGCTAAATTAATGTCTATTTATTTTAATTGTAAAAAGATCCGCTAACGACGTAGCGGACCTATGCTAGTAGCATATATAACGCACTAAAATTTATATTTACCTACATAATTATTGTGATTTGGTATATCGTTTTTTAATTCAACTTAGAAAAGTTTTTAAATATGGATTTTTATGGTTCCTTAAAATATCAGTTCATGGATTATGCTGCTAATATTAAATTAGTTGATATCCAGCAGTACACATAAATTGTTGAATTGTCGATATAGGGTTGACTACTATTGCAGGATGCCAAATATATGGTGGGGTCCTGGTAAGAATTTCTGCTAGGTTTTAATCAACGTCAATGGCAGTAATTAATGGGTTTCAACAATTTCTGGGTTCAGGTAACACTTGGTGCACAAATACGTTCACTCTATGTCACGTTCCAAACATAAAATTTTTGGAAGAAAATTTATTTTTTATATTCTCCAGTTGATGCAAAGAGGTAAAGGTTTTTGGTGAGGAAACTGATTCTTAATTGGTGCTGAACAGTTTCGCAAGTTTAGGAGCGCCAAGTGTCTAATTTTTTTTAAGGAAAAAATTGTTCTTTGCTGATTGTGTATAAATATGTGCAATTTATAATGTCACCAAAGAAAAAGTAATATAGGAAATCAAGCAGCGTGTTTTGACTCGGCTGAAGTTTTGTACGTTGTTGGAGTTACACTTGGTTCCAGTTTCCGCATCTACCCTGTGGGTAGAATATGAAAAGCACGTTTATGGTGTTTTTAGTACTCCAACTTCAGAATTCACTTGCCAATTTGAAATTATCGTGGTGGAAATTTTGATAAGCTCATAAAGTAGCAGTATACTTTTGTTAAGAGTATAATATAGTTGGCAAAAATTCACTGTAAAATATCACTATTAATTCATTCATTTTTACAGCCATCCTTAAAGCTTACCTCTTAATATGGGAATATTTTGTTGCACCATAATGTTTATAAAAATGTTATATAAGAACGGTAGTTTCTTCGTATACGATTGACGTGATTTTTTTTAGAATTTTTTAGTTGTTTAATTTGTTCACGATGTTTTCTTTTCAAATATTTGTAGAAAAAAAGAATTCCTGATCGCTTACGGAAGACGATGGCTTTTGTGGCTTGTTAAAGAATTGAGCTCGAAAAAGAAATGTCAAGATTATGAATAGTCATTGTGAGACCTTTTCGATAAATGTCGAAGATGTAACCATCTGAAAAATATGTTTAATACTAGAACGCCGAAGGCGGTCATTTTGACCGCTTTCCAATTTCAAGTACAAAATCAACTGTGCATTTAATGACACTTTTTTTTATGGTAAATTTGAATTACGTTTATTATAAAAAAATCACCAAATTTTAAAAAAAAGTGTCATAAATTTTGAAATTGGAAAGCGGTCAAAATGACCGCCTTCGGCGTTCTAGTGTTATATGGTATAAATGTTATGGTGTATTTGTTTGTTTACAAAACCATAAATATAACTTTTATATAAATTTTAGTGAAATTTTATATAATTTCCATTTATTGGCATCAAAATAAATTAATAGTTTTGTATTTTGTTTTTGCAAAATAGTCAGGCTGAATCCCAGTTTGCTGTTTTTATAAAAAACAATTATTTATTAGTGGAGAATGTATGTCATTGTCCGCCAAGTGGGTAAGACAGGGAAGACTATAGTTTCGGATCTCGCCACTGATCCTCATCAGTTCCCTTTGTTTTTTGTTGGGATATTCTCCCCAGAAGCTATTAATAGCTTCTTTACAAAAAACCTTTCAAACCCAAATGTCTCTTGTGACAATTCGAAGTTCTTATGATACGACCCCAATGAGAAGTTCGTTTCGTTGGCGCCTGACTTCGTGGTCAACAAGGCATTTGCTGACAACTACACTACATTTCCCACTGCTATGTGTCGTCACTTTGTGACGAATGCACATAACGTTGTTGTTGGTATTGCTAGTTAAAGCAATAAACCAAACAGTATGACCGTGCCTGCGTCTACAACTTCAGTAGTGTTGGCGGGTTATTTGGGATACCATTTGTATTTTGTTTTTGCAAAATAGTCAGGCTGAATCCCAGTTTGTTGTTTTTATAAAACAACTATTAATTAGTAGGGAAGGTATGGCATTGTCCGCCAAGGGGTAAGGCAGGAAAGACTATAGGTTCGGATCTCTCGGTTTTTCACGAAATAATTGACGGAACATTTGTGTGTACAGTACAATTATGTTTGTGTGAGAAAAAACGCTTATAAGCAACATTGATCTGTCCGTCCAAAAGAGCAATGCTTAATCAAAACAAAAATAAAATATATGTGTCAATACTAGATCAAAGTGACGAAAAGAAAACTCTCAAGTAAATTTTTAAGAAATGATTCCTTTTATTCATTCGGTAAGTTTTATGTATATATTTATATACACATCTGGTGGTAATTTCAAAACGTTTATTTTTGTCTAGGTAGAATCAATCTTTCAAGGAACATATTGGAATAATTTATCATACCGATGAGGGGATTATAGTTGTAACCAGAAGAAAGGTGATAACATATCATCTATTCTGAAGAATATTTCAGAGGTACCAAGGAGATACTACTCCCAAAAATGAAATTGTATTTGAACATAAATATGAGTGAAAAAACTGCTAATGTAACTATAAATAGGCATTTTATTACCAAAAAATATTGAGCGGTTTCTGTGATTAAGAGTTGGTGTTGGTTTTGATTCTTGGCTACGGTTCGTGTCCAATACAAAATATGACCAATATGCACAAAACGTTGAAATCGATTTGGATATAGCTCCATATACATTTTCGCCCGATTTTGAGTACATTTTGCACAGAAGAGGAGTTTGGTGTCAGAGTGACACGAAAATTTGCATAGAATGGCGAATTTGCGTTTTGTAGAAGTACACACATAGCCCATATATATATTCGACCGACTTCATGTTAATTGGACTGAAATTAATGAAGGGATGTATTTTGAGCAGAATTAAATGTTATATTTCTATTCACTGGGGTATACGGTGGTATACCTCGTGTTACACTGGCATATCATATCGACTCCTCTACTCTGTAGATATTCACATTTTTATGTACATCTCAACGATATGTATACGAACTGGTACATTTAAACATTTCAAGTACCCAGCAACTGTCAGACAC